TTAGTGAAGGGGATTTATGAAGGAAATGTTTATTTTCCTTTTACTGATTGAGAAAAAGGGGAATTAATTAAAAAAAGAGAATTTCCAACTTTCACGGCTTATATTTATAAGAAAAATAAACAAAAATAGGTAGGAATATTTTCGAATAAAGGTAAATATGAAAACAAAATTATCTGGCTGGGCTAATAAATCTTTCTAATTTAAAATTTCTTTGGCGAGAAATGGCTAATAGTTGGCTTTTTTCCCGAGACGAATTGACAAAAGTTAGGGCTTTGCCACTGGCTCCGGCTCGTCCAGTGCGTCCAGTGCGGTGAATATAAAACTCGCGGTTTTGCGGAAAATCATAATTAACCACGTAGGAAATATCCTTAATGTCCAAGCCCCGAGCGGCTACATCGGTAGCAATTAGCAAAGAAATCTTTTTCGCCCGAAATTTCTGAAAAACCCGAGTGCGACGATTTTGGGATAAATCGCTATGAATATAATCAACTCGTAAGCGGTTATCTAGCAAAATATTTTTGATCTCTTCAACCTTTCTTTTTGTGTTAGCAAAAACAATTACAGAATCAGACTGGTTAGCAGAGAGAAAAGCAATTAAATCACGGTTTTTTTGCCGTCAGGAACCCGTTTCCAAATAATAGTGCTCTATATTATTTGGTAAATCGTTAGTAGGGCTAGCGATAAGAACAGGATTGCGAGCAAAGCGGTTAGCAAAACCTTTTACCTCGGGGGAAATGGTAGCAGAAAAAAGCAAAGTCTGGCGTTGCTCTGGCATTTTTTTCATTATTTTTTCAATCTCGGGCAAAAATCCTTTGCTAATCATTTCGTCCACTTCGTCTAAAACCACAAATTTTAGTTGGTCCAGCCGGAAACTTTGACGCGTAAAAATGTGGTCGATGATTCGGCCAGGAGTCCCTACTGCTAGGTCAACGCCCCGACGAAAAGCCTGTAATTGTTGATAAATTGGTGCACCGCCATAAACCGCCGCCACTTGTAAATTGGTGTGAGGAGATAATTTTCGTGCCTCCTCACTTAC